GGGGCTTGTAAGTGCAAGCTTACACACCGCAATAACAACAATTATTACAAGAAAAGCAATTTAATAGGAAATATACATTTAGGCGCACTCACTCACACACATACATACATATAAGTATACATGCTCACACTTATGCCCGGAATGACCTCGTTGCCAACACGGAAATGTGTAAATTGCGGCAGATTGTTATTTGTTTCACATCAAAGGGCGTCGAATGAAATTAAAACCGATGACCGCTAACACGCAAAATATAAATTTGGTGGTATTTGCTTTAGTGTCAGCGGCTAGGTGGGAAGGTGCATGACTTTCAGTCGGTTGCAGAACACGCAAAGCATTCTTCTATGGATATGCGTAAGCAGAGTGCAGGAGACATTTTTGGTAAAAACAAGTAAAAAAAAGGGCGAAACCTTTCTGTAAACTATTCATTTCGATAATATGCTTAGTTAGACTTAATGAAATAATTGAATCAAGTTTGGTACAAATTGATAAGTCTGCTACGGAGGTTTTGCATATTTATGTAGTCAAAAGTGGCCAGTGACATGCCATTTTTCCAAAAATTTGTGATAATCACATTTATTGCTAAGACAATTTTGCAAAGATCGATTTTTAGTGAATTAATTTGAATAATTACTGATTTATCGCAGTTTTCGGATTTCTGTAAATTACCGAAAATAAAAAAATCCGCAAGGACCCAAATTATCAGAAAAAAAACAGCTACAGAAAAGTTTTAGCGAAAATCTCTCAAAATGCAAAAATCACAAAAAAGCTTCGAAACCATTGGACCTGAAAATTCTCGAAAAGTCAAGCATAAAACAAAAAAAGTAGAGAAAGTTCCCGAAATGCACCAAAAAATTCCAAAATTCCAAAAAGAGTATTTCTAAAAGGCCAAAAACCTCCAAAAAATATTGATAAACAGCCAGAAAGTCTAGAAATGCTCTAAAACCTTAAACTTTACAATTTCGGAGAAGTGCTACATAAAAAACTTTTCGGAAATTCCCGCATAAAACACAAAAATTTCCAAAAGATACCGAAAAAATGTCTAAATATCCCAAAATGATTAAAAGAATCCGAAAAGTTCTTTCGAACATCTATAGAAATGCTAAGATTAAAAAGCTACGAAAAATACCGAAAAATTCCAAAAAAGTCCCGAAAAAAATCCAAAAATGCTCAAAATCCACAAAAAAAAAAACGAAAAAGATGCCAAGAGTCTAAAAAAAACTCCGAAATCGTGAAAAGTAAATTACCGAGAAGTCCTGAAAGATCGCAAAAAAACTGATACAAAAAGTGCCAAAAAACTCTCAAACTGCGAAAATTTTTACAATTCCCTAAAAATATGCAGAGAAAGACTCGAAAAAACAGGAAACTGGTAAAACAGAAAATTTTCGAACATTCCCGCATAAAACATAAAAAAGCGCAAAAGGTGTCGAAAATTCCTGAAAGATACCGAAAAAAAATTTGTAAATTCTGTAAAACACACGAAAAGTTCCAAAAAAATCGCAAAAATATCCAAAAAGACTCTAAATTCCACATGAAAAATACCGAAAAAGGTGCAGTCTCGAAAAAAAAAACCCCAAAACCGAGGAAAGAAACTAACCGAAAAATCCTGAAAGATCGCGAAAACTAGCTTCAAAAAGTGCAAAAAAATTGCAAAATCCAAGTAAAAAGTATTAAATCCATACTGAAAAAATTTCGAAATCCCACGAAAATTTTAAAAACCGAAAGAATGATATGTGGCGTGGCTATTTTCCGATTTCAAAAGTTTTCAACCTTTTTCTCTACTGGACCTGAGTCAACAACAGTACAAAGCTTGGTATAAATTGGTAAAGCGCGCAGGACTACGGTAGGCAGGTTTTTTTTAGAAAAAACTTAAAAAGCGACATTGGAAGTTAAGTTAAATTTCACCTACTCATTGTGAGGTAATGGATATTATATGTACGAGTATGTATTTGAATACATATATACATATTTGTTAATAAAATTGATTTTGTGGTTTTGCGTGTGATTCCATCGGACTGGCGCTCACCCCAACAAAATAATTTGCCTGCCAGCATACCCCAAAGGCACAATACAAAGTGATTCACGTCATGCAATTGATTGATTGATTTCCTCCATTCGATTGTCCTCATTCAATTGGCATGCACCAATGAACGCCTGTTATTCCATTTATTGGACACATTCCTGGTTTTGTCTATTCTATTTCACATTTTTATGACAGAAAAGTAGAAAGTAAGGCGAACCAAAGAAGAAACTTCAAATTAGAAACTCACAAAACAAGTTGGAAAATGGTCAAATGTAAGAAATAAACGGCGCGGACGGAGATGAAGACGCAAGCGCTAAATCGCTGACACAAATCCACCATCAATCATCAAGGAAATGAAGACAACGCACGAATAAGCACACAAATAGATTGCATCAAATCCTAGCCTAGGGAGCTAGGGAAACCTGGAAAGTAAAAAGAAATAGATGTTGCGGAAGGTAGAACCGACGAAATCGAGAAAATCGCCAAGCGTTGAAATTAAGACGCTGCCAAATTAATATCGATGACCGGCGCGCGTGACCAACCGCCCGCAAACAGGGACACTTACAAACGCACATACACGACATCTACGAGCGCTGTTTTGCTGCTGTACAATTTTATACTAAATTTTTCATTCGCTTTTATTTGGACATACATACATACATACATACATAGTTTTATGGTGTCATCATAAAGTGATACGTTCAAGAGGAAATTGTTGCAATTTTCGTTTTCAGTTTGACCATAAACACATATTTTACTTTATTGGACAGTGGACAGCCTCACACACACACACACACACACACACACACACACACGTTTGCACTCGAATAGTGTATGCAGTATAAGCACGTATGCGCGAATAATTTATTGTTTTATGAGCTTTAAAGTGTATGAGCTTGCCGGTATTAGATTACTCGTTCCGGTACGTGCGCTGAAGTGTTGGTGATTGTTGATGATTGTTCAGTTCAGTGTACACAGGCGCCCGCCCATCCAAGGACTAGCGGCGACAACGATGTAAAATCTTGAAACAAAAACTGCACTAAGAACTCTAATATCCCTGGCATTTTAAGCTGCTGCCATGTAGTTTTTTTTTCTAACATAAAGGATGTAACCTGACTAAATAGCACTAGGATTTTTCAAAATTACAAAGCATTTTTTAATAAGTATCTCTGACTATTTTCTAAATCCATAAATTGCCCATAAGTGAATTATGAAGCGCACAGCTCCGATACTTAAAAAAAATACCGCTACGGGATTTGTATCTAAGATGATAAAAATTATAATTTTATCCTATTTGAATTTCTATTTGAAGTCACAAAAAATGTATCACCACTCGCATTTTTCACGAGGTTACGTATACGCCGCGCATAGCTGCTGCTCCAACCAGCAAAATCGCAAAGCTCCAATTTCTCCACAAATTTTAATACATCTTCAACTACTTCCAATATGCAAATTAGAGGAAATAGCATTTTAATTTAATACACATTTAAATTTTCGCAACAACAACTTGGCTGCAACCACAGCCACAGCCACAGCCAAAGCGACAGCGAGCTGTGTCGAAATTCGCCGCAATGTCGCGTGATTTTATCGCATTAAAAATGACTGCTAAGCACTTTGGCCTGAATTCAGCAGGCGAGGCGTGGAGAGTGGCGTGGAAAATGAATGCAACTTTGGGATTATCAAAGTGTTGCAAGTGGCGCCGGCAGCAAAGGAGGAAGCCAAGTTAGAGAAGAACATAACGCAAATCGTAGTAATTAAATGACAACATCAGTGCTGCTGTTGCTGTTGCAATTGTTGCAAGTGCGGCACGCTTCAATGGGATTATCAACGCTCATTGTAGAATTTGCGAAGCCAAAAGCAGCCGGCAAAAAAATTATATACTTTACGTAATTTCATTCCCAACCATTTACTATGAGAAGAGGGTACAGAAAAAAAAAAACTCTTTAATGTTTCGGCTTACAGCAGAAAAGAAGTTCACAGAGAAATGTTGTGCAATAAATAGAATGCAGAATGTCAGCCATACAAAGATGTTAAGCACGTAAATAAAGTCAAATAAAAATAAATAAAATTAAAACTTTCGGTACTTACTTGTGCTGTCACTGGTTCTGGTGCCATAAATTCGGCGGCTGCTTGTCTCCTATTGCTCGCCGCTTCCTCGCATTACCGCTACACTGTATATTTCTACAATTTTTTTTTAGAATTCACTTTAACACTTTTCTCTCGCCGCTGTTGTTGCCGCTGCAGACGGCGGCTGGGATGCTGATGGGAGGACGTTGAGCTGTCAACCGGTTTTAAATTCACTCAACAGGCAATTTCTGACGCAAATGTTGCCGCAAAGTATAGCACCCTTGCCACCCTGCCAACCACTTGTAAAAATTGCAGTTTTTTGTTGCTTCCGCAAGGCGATTTTGTTTTTTTTTCCTCTGTTTATCTATGTGTGCGTATGTGCGGAATGCATAGTCAACGTTGACGTCGTTGATGGTTTTGTTGTTGGCAGCAATTTTCGTCTACTCTTACTCAACGCTCAACAATTTACTTCTTGGTTTTCAGCTTTGCATTGTTCTAGTCTTTTTCTTCTGCTTTTTGCTTTTTGTGTTTTTGCCATTCGTATGCTTGCGGGTGTTGGCGAAGATTATCGGATGAAGGGATTGACTTGAATTTATAGTCTTTTCACTTGGCACTGATTAGGTGCTCAGATAAAGTTTCGCATTACAAATTTTGGTGTATGAAGCGGACGAGCTCAGCTGCCAATCTGTTTGTTCATCTGCCAGCAGCGAAACTGTTAAGCCATATTTACTGTTACTGTCCTGAAAAAATAAATAAATAAAATTATATTGCAATGTACAGCTTAAAAATTATGATAAGATATAGCAGACTTATAATATGCGGAATATTTAAAATCTGCAGTTGAATCTTAAAAGTATTTCATAATTTCAATGAATTTTTATACTAATGTTTGCCTTCATCATCCTCTTTGCAGACGGAGCGAGTTTCTAGGATGCATGTCCTTTCCTCTACAGACGTTGCTGCAGCAACCCGTTAACGGCTTCTACAAACTACAATCGCAGGCATGTCTAAATAATCCACAGCCGCCAGTGTCGTTGCAGTATCCGGCCGTTGCTACACACGCGCCGCACACTCAAGGCCACACGCAACCAATCTCGTGCCCAGCGCCACTCAATTCCAATCACACTTACGCCCAGCAGCAGCCACAGTCACAATCGCAGCCGCCACCAAAACCCCAAGTCCAACCCCAACCATTTGTGCCACAGACGCGTGTCGTCACCGCCACATCTACAATGACCTCAACACTGACGCGCCAGAAAAGCGAGGAGGACGTCGTAAGCATCGACAGCATGGCTCAGGCGACTGGCGGCGGCAACATCGAACATCCGATGACACTGAGCCGGAAGGCTTTGCATCAGCGCGACGCCGATGAGAATTTATTTTTGCGTTTCCTCGAATTGGATCCGCCCACTGAGACGACAGCGCCCGCAAACGCCGCCAATGCCACACCAAACGCCTCAGGTGCACGGCGTCTATCTGCTGCCAGCAAGCCAGTCGGTCGCACACCTTTCACCATGACCAAGAAGCTGACACGCACTGCCGAACGAGGCTTTGGCTTCTCCATTGTGTGGACACATCCACCGCGCGTCGAGAAGATTGAGCCCGGACTCTCGGCCGACCGTGCCGGCATACAGCCCGGCGACTATGTGATTTTCGTAGACAAGCAGAATGTGGTGACGATGCCCGAAGCGGATGTGTTAAATTTAATACGCTCACAGGGCTCCACCTTAACGCTGGAGGTGTTCAGAAGATCGGGACCCACTGGTGGTGGTGTTGGACTCGGTTCTATGCCGCCAGCGCTCAGTGTTGGCAGTCGTGGGCATCCAGCGGCGCCGGTCATGAATGGCAAAACTACATCAACTACACGCCTAGCCAGTGGCATAAGCGATGAACAACAGTCAGTAGCGGGTGGTACAGCGCCATCGGTGCGACGCGTTGGCGTGGCAAGCGCAGCACCAACGGTGGCTGTGGGGCCGTCAGCAGGGGCCTCCACAATGAATGTTCGTCCGTCCACAGCCTGTTCAGTCGGCACCACCTCGTCCATTGAGGCGGCGAAGAGGCGACTGCACCTGCCGCAGGTCACCTTCAGTAAGGAGGTAGGCAAAGGCGTTATAGTCTGAGAGAGAGAGTGGGAGAGTGGGAAATTTTCCGACAGCCAAAGCGAAATAACAGCTGCCGAAGCGAAGTGAACGAATTTATTTGGTTAAATTTAGATTTGAGTTAATCGTTTCTACTTTTAGTTTACTTTTTTTCAGTTAAGCTATTTTAAGTGACATTTGTTTATGATTTGTTTCTTATTTCGAATCATTTGAACCGTTTGTATATTTTATTTCGTGTATATAGTACATGTGTAGGTTTATACATTTTTATATGCGACATTTAATTCTAAAAGCACAAAGTTGCCTCGGCTGACGCTCAAAGCTGAGTGAAAAAGTCAGCCTTTTTGTAGAGCTAATCCTCTGAAATCTAAGTTGCTTTGCAAAGTTCTTACTTAGCAAGCCGCCGAGACAAACAAAACCAAGTGAATTTTTATATTAAAGCCTACCGATTTGATATCGAACAGTGCCATTTTGCGCTGCGAGTTAAAATAAATTATTTTCGCATAATATTTTTACTACCGAATATTTGTCATTATCTTAGTTAACTTTTTAAGAGATTATTACTATCCCTAACATCCCAAATATTAAAAATGAATTATGAGAAATGTTACCAATTATTTTAGCTACATACATACGTAAATTAATGTTTAAATACTTCATTAAAAATTCAGTTTTATTCTATTTTATTACTTCTCAGCTGGAAATCATTATGAAACCACTTTATTTAATTATTTTATAAATTGTTACACTTTTCTTGAATATTTCACATTTTCGTTTAAGTTTGTGCCCTTTCTTTTAGATATTTATTTTAAGTTGCTTTTCAAATAACGTATGTACATATAAACGTATTTGGAAAATGCTGCTATGTCGACAATAAACCCTTCTTTGTATGTAATTTTGAAATTTTAATTGTCTTATTATTTGGATAAATTTTGACGAGTCACAGCCGCCATTTGTTCTGCAAATTGTCACCTGAAATGCAAAAGGCCGTAACTAACAAACCATTTTTTTTTTAGATAAAGCGATGGATTTTTTATCAGTTACGGCTTTTTGAATTTCAAATGATGAAATGCATTTTTAGCCTTTCATTAAAATGTTGCTCTTTTCCCCAGTCCATCGGGCCCATCACCGACAATCGTCGTCGCTTGCTGCTACAGCTGATTAGCCGCGAACAGAATTTCATTGCGGCGCTGCATTTCGGCATGCAGCGATTCGTGCAGCCGTTGCAGGAGCGAAAAGATCTCATTTCGCCAAGCGATCATCGCACACTCTTCCAGAATATCGATGAGCTGGTGCGCATCTCCGAGGATATTTTAGAGCAGCTGTGCAACGATGACCAGGAGCCACAGATGAACTTCGCCTCACGCGTCTATCTCTCGAAAACCACAGCAATCTGCGCGGCCTACAAGAAGTATTGCAATGGCATTAAGCGAGCCGATTGTGTGCTGGTAAGCGTCTCCATATTTAATGAACCGTATTGTACACCAATTAGCACTTTCTTTGTTCTCTTCCATTAGGTCAATAAGTCTCGGCAGATGGGCTCTGAGTTTGTTGCCTTCATAACCGAACCGCAAGTGCCACGCAAGCGCCCCGATCTCACCATGTTCATTCACAGGCCTTTACAGCATTTCCGCGAAATATTGAAACTAATGCAGCTACTCGCTTCTAACTGTCACGTCGACACGGAGGAGCACAAGAACTTTACCACTGTTATTTCGGAACTACAGGCCGCTTATCGTGAGATAACCGTTAGCAGTGGCTTGATGGAGCCGCTGGGCGAGGGTCGACCTTTGCTCACGTTGCAAGATCTCGAGTCCCGCATGGTCTTCACGAAGTGCAAGCCATTCACGCTAGCCGTTCAGGGACGCCAGTGGATTTTTGGCGGCGACCTGTCACGCGTGGAAGGCCGCTCCGTGAAACCTTACTGGACCTTGCTCTTTAGTGACATCATCGTATTTGCAAAGGTCAGCCGAGATCGCGTGCTGTTCATAACCGAGGAGCCCATTCCAATCGCCAATATTGTAGATTCATGCTTTCACATGCGCAAGAAAAGTAAGTTGTTGCACTTGCCGTACGGCGTAGCTGACTTGTGACCGCGATTTCTTCTTACATTGCAGCCACAGAGTTTCGACTTACAGTGGATCCCAACGGACGCTTAGCCGAAAGTCCAACGGGCTATTGTGCACCAGATTTGACCCGCACACCAAAGAAGAGTGCTCGTCGCAAGAGCCTCTTGCTCCGCGCGCCCTCTTTAGAACTAAAAGCTGTCTGGCAGAATCTTTTGCAACGTCAAATGTAAGTTAATTTTTTTTTTTAAATTCCGGTTTAACCTTACTAAATTTCTATGCGCAGTTTCCTGGTGAATGCCGCGCTTGGCTCAACGCCACTCTCCAGTCCACTAGATTCTCCCGATGTGCTCAACACTTTGGTGCCCCTTAGTGATATTGGCATCGCGTCCGCATCCATAGGCTCGGTGAAACACTTATCCATGGACAGCATCAACGCGAAGAACAGCCAGCAACAGGTGCGTTTATTCCGCCATGATGGTCAACTGGCCACTGGCGATTCCTTTGAGAACCTACAGCGTCTCGCAAGTACACTGGTCGCCTCGCGCTGCAGCACACGCATGACCCAAACCACGCACACCGCTTCCTGCTCTTCTCAAACAGCATCGCCGGCGCGCCACACACTTACAGGTTGCCTTGGGAGTGGTAGTGGCGGCGGTGGTGGCATCGCCGGCATTGGTGGTCTCACAGACAGCGCCCCTTCCTTGCGCTCACTAACACTCACGCGCCGCCACTTGATCGCCCAGCAGCTGGACGCACGCCCTCTGGCCTCTGCACGCGCCTATAACTCAAGTGCGAACAACTCCAGTACTTGGCTCAGCCTCAGCGGCAGCAGTCTTAACACGCAGACGATCTGTTCGGGCGAACATTTGCCCTCCTGCAAATGCCTCACCGCCATTCCAGAAGTGGCGTGCGAAGCCAGCGGTGCAGATGCCAAACATGACATCGACACATTTTTCCTGCAACAACGTTGCGCCGACGGCGGTGAGCGGCTGCTTTTGATCGACGGCCAGGGGCGTTACTGCGTCACCACAACGGCGAAAACCAGCGGACGCTCAAGTCGTCGGAGTGACAGTACGCTGCAAGCGACGCCAGCGCGTAGTGTGCGCAGCGCCGCGACGGCCACCACCGCCAGCCGACCACCCAAATTACTTGAGTTCTCACTTAGCTCTGTGGGTCGCTCCTTCATCGATGAGAGCGATGTAGTACAGCCGACCGACTCCCACAACCATTCACTGACGACACCCGACACGCCCACACCGAACATTTCGCCCTCCTCGCAGCCGTGTAACTCTGATGCATTCTCCAACGATTTCGTGCCCTCGCAGAATATTAAAACACAGGATCACGACAAACCCAGCAAAGCAGGCACTAACGCCAACTCAGATGTCAAATTGAATCAATCCGTAAACGTCAACATCAACGGAAAATTGGAGAAGGAGAAAAAACGGACGAACTCTCTCTCCGCCAAGGACATACCACTGGCCGCCTTTGGTGGCTCGTGGGATTTGATAGAATTGGACATGAACCTGCAGGATGTGAATATTGATCCATCCTACGATACAGATGTGGAGGAATGCATTTTCATGGGCGACGAGCACGAAGTGGACGAAGACGATGAGATCGATGTGAGCGTGGTCGTGGACGACCCCTTTGGCGTATTGCCAACAAAGCCAACCCCACCGGACTCGCTGGATCTGTGATTTGACTTTTGGCTGGAGGAAGCATATGTTTGCGACGATGACGACGATATGGACGTAACGGAGGGTAACGGAGACGACGAAGACTTTGCGTGCCAAATTGAATACCAAGTTTTAAGCAACTGAGTTTATTAACGTTGAGTAGAAACACAGCCAATGAGGGCGAATTGCGACAGACTAACGACATACATACATACATACATAGGCGTACAGACTGATCATTTATATGCGTGTATTAATTAGACTTTTGGCAACTGTGAGCTTATCCTGAGGTTGTTTTTCTCTTAGTTACTTATTTTTTTCGAAACTTTCATCTAAAACTAAGTAAAATCTATACAATTTTAAACTAAGGGTAAGGCATAGAATACGCTTTTGTAATGGTAAACACCACCCACCGGCACAGCTGACAGGTTTTTTGCACGGATCGCTTTCGATCCAGCAATTGCTTGCACTCAATCGCACAGCTACACTACCCCTACATAATCCAGCTACTGTTTTTTGTCCTTGTTATCGTTGTTGTTGTTGTTGGTATTGTGCCCCTAACCACCCAACCGGTCTCAACATTGACAGGTGCGTCGTTGCGGTCAGCGCGTGTGTGCAGCGTTGTGCTGTGCGCGACCTCCACCCCCACCCCCACAACCATCAATACCAAGCGGAGTTGTACAGCCGGTTGTCAGTCGAACTCAGCCCCAACAAAAAGGAGTCGAAACCAATTGCAATTCAAAACTTATGTAATTTATGGTTGTTTAGTACGTACATAGGTCTCAAGTAGAGTAGATAGTGGAGTGGAGTTTTACTTAGGAAGACATATTTAATTAAATATTAAATTTATTGTTATCGTATTTAGTATAACCACAAAGCTACAAAGTAGACAAAAAGCGCTTGAGACTTATTTATACGAGTAGCCTCAGCTTAAATATGGTTTCGGCTTAGTTACCTATACACAAAAATACATACCTATGTTCCGCGATGCATTTTCTACACTAATAAGGCCAGATTAGATAAGCGTATGCGCCTGCCTAAGGGCTGACTAATGCTCGCCGCCATTTCGTTCGAAAAAAAAAAATGGAAAATTGTTAATGATGGCTCAAAACTTGCATGTCGACTAGAAATAAATGATTTGAAATCATCACTTGTGAATTAGAAATAAGTATAAATCAGTCATATTAATTTGATGTATTTACAAGTAGTTGATTGATTCAAAAACGGTTGTTTACTCACTAAGAGTTTTTGTAGTTACCGAAAAGATAGAAGTGTGGAAAATTTTTAAGCATTTTTTTTTTTTTTTTTTTCATTGATAAATGCATTAGCGAATAAGTTGTTAAAATTTGAAGTTTTTATGCGTCGTATTAATTGAAAAAAATGTGGAAAATTAATACAACAGTTATACATATGTATATAGTAGTTTAAAACATTATTTTATTTCTCGATATTTGGAAATTTATTGCTGGGTCTTTGAAATTTTACATTTAGAATTTAAAAATATGAACATTTTTAGCTTTTTTTTTTGTAGTTAATAATTTAATGCTCATTTGTAATGAACTTTTTAACAAAAGTAGAAAATTGTATTAACAAATTTTTTAAACAACATTTATTATTTAAAGTAGGTTTTTAAGTTCTTAAAGATACACTGAAGGTAAAAAGTTTTGCCACAGAGAATTTTTCACAATATATACATAAAAAAAATCTTCGTGCAAAACTCGCGAAAATTCAATAAATTTTAGTGAATTTTTTTTTTAGTAAGCAGTTTTGTAGCACATCAAATTCTTGTATAAAATATGGAAATTTCGCGCTGAGTTTTCAGATTTTTTTTCTTCACAAAATATTTTTGAATTTTTTTTTCGTATGGAAGAAACTATTTACGTGAAAAAATTGCCAAAAATCAACGGCAAGTCCAAGGCACTTCAGACTTCCACTTTAATATAATAAAAATTCTAAAAAAAATCTGATTAAAAAGTTGAAGATTAATTGAATTTTCCCGATTTTGTCCAAAGTTTAAAAATTATATTTTTTATTTTAGTATGAGCCATATTTTTATAAAAAAAATTTGCGGAAAAAATAAAAATAAAAATTGTAGCATAGTATATTGTTAAAAATTCTCTGTGTCAATACTTTTTTCCGGCAGGAATTCAGAAACCTTGAAAAAATGAGGATTCCACTGATTTGTATATTTGTAGTGTTTTCGCAATTTATTATAGACTTCTTTGATATCCACAGATCGTCGTGACCAGTTATTAGGACTTTGTTCATTATATTAGAAGTGGAGCGTTCATGGACCGGAATGGTTATTTTACATTCTTAGAAGAATGAAAGTCCAAATTAACTGAATGTGCATTAGAAGTTAGGCAAATTATGTAGTCGACCCTATCGGTTTAGCGATCCTGTTTTCACTTGCGATTGATTTTCTTATTTTAATGTCCTTTGACTGTACTACCGATTTTTGGTGAAATTTCATAAAAACGTATGAAGGTCAAAAGAACAAAAAAAAAAAATGGTGCAAAATCTATAAATCACCAATCCTAATTAGAGTTTTTATTTGCTGTTTTGCATTTCGAAACTAATTTCCATCACTCGTTTCCAAATTTTCTGCGGAAACAAACCCGTTTCGGCGTAGTGCCAACTTCCATCTCATTTCTAGTGTTTTTTACTTTGTTCCTATCAGCCAACAAGCCAAACGGATGCTCACAACTAGAAACGAAAGCTGCCAGTATGTTTCAGCATTTGTTGCTCAAATTTATAGATTTTGTGTTAATTTTGGTTCTAACGCTTTTGTTGAGAAAGAGCTGATTTATCGATTCCCATTACAAAATAGAGCTAGTTAAACCAAAATTTTACCAAACAACGCTTCCAGTCACTTCCCTTTGCAAGTAGCAAAATTCCTATTTTATACAGAAGCTCAATTTTGTTTATAGTTAGTACAAATTTACAAAAGAAAAACGTAGACAGAATTTTAATAAATTCATGAACGATAAGAAATAAGAAAAAATCAAACTCGATGGCAAATAAAATCACTTACAGAATTCTCCAATGCATGTGTGTGTGAGCCCAAGAAAGCAAATACAAGTAATTTACAATCAATTCTTATCGAATCGAAGTTCGTGTAAATTTCATTAAAAAATACTACCCATATGAAAACATCGATGTGGTTTTTTTTTTTTAAAAAAAATAAAAAAATTAAAACTCGCTCTAGGCTAGTCGCTCAGCAAAGTTCAAAAATAAATTTGCATAAATAGCTGTAAAGTTCACTAGTAAGCAATACATAGCATACAAATACATACCAGAGTACATAGTACGTGCATACACAATTTCATTACATACAAATGTATGCACATATATACGTACATATACATATACATACATAGTTAAAACATTGTAGCCTAATTACCTACATTTAAAACTTATAGTTGCATTAATTCATTCAAATTAATATTAGTAATTATTAGAAAGTGATTTTCATTAATCGTAAATCATTTTACTTTAACTTATAGCAAAAAAGCGAAGAAGAGAAAGCAAATAAAAAAATTTAATTGCAATTGAAATTGATACAATAAAAATAAATGAATGAAAATAAAATAAAATTGTGGTTCTTTGAATAAAAACGCTTGTGAATTTATTTCGTCGTTTAGTGTCACTTGTTTTTTTTTTTTTTTAGTTTCCACTGCTGTATCTCTTTCATTTTGTTTCATTTCATGATTTCCTTTGCCAAACAGCTTGTTGCCTGGTATTCTTAAAAAAAAAATTAAAAAATTAAATAAAATAAGCAGCTACTTGTTTTGGTTATTTACAATTCGCAATTCATGAATTTGAGTTATTAAAAAATGAAAATAAAATCAATTTAACTACCGATTTCTACCCCACTTTGAAACAAA